AAAAAACAAACCTAGACTCAGCCCAAAACCAGAACTCAAGACCAAACACAAAAACACACTCAACTGGAGACTCAAGTAGCAGAAGGCTCAACGGAGGAAAAAAAACAAATCCGGACTCAGCAACAGAGAATTCGAGTCTGGATTTGAGTCAGTCTGGATTTGTGTCTGGATTTGAGTCTGGGTTTGAGTCAGTCTGTTTTTTGAGTCTGGGTTTGAGTCTGGAGTTGAGTCTGGATTTGTTTTTCTCTGGGGGAAAACGCAGGTTCCAGCCCACCCTAGCCTAGCCCCCAGAAAGCAGCAGGTGACTCAACACCAAACTCAAACTGGATCTCAATCAAGCACTTGAAACCAACACCAGACTAAACAAATAACCCGCATAGAAATATATAGAAATCAGAAAAAGACTCGCATGGAATTTCACCATGGCAAAAGGTTGAACAAAGGAGAAAAGCAAATCCGGACTCAGCAACAGAGAGTTTGAGTCTGGATTTGAGTCTTGTTTTGTGTTTTTTGAGTCCTGTCCTAAGTAGACCTGTTCTCCTGAGTGTGGATGTGTTTTTCCTATATATTTGTTTATTGTTTGAATATTTTTTATTTTTTCAAGGATTTTGGCTCTCTGTGTGTTGAGTTCGGGTTCACAAGAATAGTCCACAGCCCCAAGAAATACAGGAACCCCATCTGCTAGCATTTCAGGATGTTTCAAGCGTGTTTGTTCCCTGAGTTTGCAAAGTTTCTCGGCACCTTCGTGCATGGGAGCTTCCAATGTGGAGGAGGTGAGGTAACCAGTCACTAACATGGTCCTACTACATCCTAGAACAGTTCCTGACTACAAGTAGGACCATGTTCCTGAACAACCATCCTGACTGGTTGTAGTAGTAGTAGTTTTCAGGTAGGATCTAGTTTCCTTTTTGTGTGCAAAGGCATTGAGTCAGTTGCGTTTCTTTTCGCTCCACTGCGTTTCACTTCCTCGGTCGCTTAGCCTATAGCGGCCGAGGGTTTGATCAGTCATACGGCTAAGGCATGTTACACATGAAGCAGAGAGCCCGGACAATCACCTGAATCACCTGAATCACCTATCACCCATAGCATGACATGACCCAAAACACTAGATATTGCATATGTGTAGTTGCTTTTGTGCCTTGTTCATCACCCAACAGTTCAAAGTTGAGAATCATGAGCATGCATTCATTCCTGGAGACACTGGAGATGCATGACTACGAAACCAGGTGTGCAACATCACATACAGCACAGTGTAGAACTCAGGTGACGCGTAGCCCCAGGAATCCACATACGTTTTGAAAAAGTGCTTGGAGATGTTGCAGGTGGGGTACATATAGAGATGTGCAGAGGATCCCAAAAGTCGATCCGAATGGCTTAAGAGCATGGTTAGATTCATGGGGAAGTGCCAAAATCACTTGGAAAACACCTTGGATTGGACTAGACCTGCTTTGACGTGGGTCAGGAGGCCTTGGTGGCCTGGCAGGAAGCGGCAGGGGGCGCCTAGTCGTGTGGCGTGGAATGTTCACGCACGGCGATTCGATGGATGCTGCGGTCCGACTCTTGAGATTCCTTTCTACCCGGAATTAGCGGTCGTCTCCAACGAAAGAATCTGGGGATATCTGAGGTACGCCTCCAACTCTGTGCTTTGTACCTCAGTCTCTGGAATGAAGCGCCAAGCATACGTGCCGATTCGTGGTTGTCTTGACTATGGTCACTTCGTCTCTCCGAGGTCCTTGTCTTGGGGTCCCACCGCGACTCAGTTGCTTCAGCACGACCGTTCGGCAGAATCCAATGTGGAGTGACGTCCGAAGAGGTGAGTGGAGACCGCCGAAATGGGTAGGTTTGGGTGACCATTGCCGGGGGGGCCCCTGCTGTCTGCTAATTCCGAGCCGCCATTTGGATCCATTTGGTACTTGGTACAGTCAGATCCATCGCCCATAGGTCCGGCTCCAACTGCCGAAGCTTGAGACGGTTCAGCAGGCAGTGGCAGTCGATGGCTGTCGTTGTGGTCGCATTCGCGTGTGCAAGAACTATAGCCATCCTAGGTCCCGGCTTGAGGCAGTTCAGTGAGTGCCATGTCGTCATGATGCCATGTCGTTATGGTGCATTGGCAGACCATATAGCCTTCAGTTGAAGAGCCATTGGGGCTTCAGTAGCCACAAATTCAATGGGCGGCATGCTGCGGAAGAGGTTTATGTGGTTTGTATATGACGGCATTGTAACTATTTTTGTTGCATGAAATTTTCTTGCCTCCACTGTGCCAGCATATGTATAGGCAGCTTTGTAAAGGGGCGGGAATTCCTTACAATAGCCAGCATCCGAACCAATTGAAAATCCAACCAGCGCTTGGGTGGAAGCTCTCCACCCCTAATTTGTGTTGAACTCTCAACCCCAAAAAACACCGCATGGCAACATCATCTTCGCCTGGATGCCATGAATCCTGCTCCAGCGGGTGATGCGGCTGATGCGCCTTCTGACGCAGCTCCAAAGAGATCAAAGAGATCGAAGGAGAAGAGGAAACTGAAGAAAGGCACCTGGGAGATTGAAAGGCTGGCAGGCTCTGGGTTTGCCACACCACAGGTCATCACAGGGCTTTTTGTGGGCAGCTTTTTGTAGCACTTTGTGACTTTGTGTTACCCTTCCTTTGTTGGTGCACAAAGAGGCAGAGGATCAGCTGACTCATCTCGTCATTTGAAGCTTCAATCCTTCATCCATTTGCCCTCCCAACGGAAGTCGACGTGACGGCCATGGCCCCTGGAAAGACCGTTATGACCATGGCACTCCGCTACCAACAGAGGGTTGTCCATTTCTGGATTCCAGAAGCCTGCAGCAGAAATCGGATGAATTCGCGCTTTTGGGTTGACAGATCTATAGTGCCCAAACTTGATCAAAGCTGTGGGAATGCTCGTTTCATTTCGTATCCTCACCGGAGGATTCTTGTTCGGCTTGGCTTGGGGATGGCAGGCGCTACACTTCCTAGCCTTTCCGTGGAAGCTCAATAGTTGATGACTATTGAGATGTTATTTGTGGCGTCCATCGTGTGGAGCTTCAAGTCCGTAGTATATGTGGATCACTTTTCATGAGTCGAGGGCGAGGGATGAACATGATCCACAGGCAGCAGGGGGTCAAAGTTGTGATGATGTTGGGTGAACATCTCCAAGATTCAGATGGCACCTTGACCTCCAAAAAAACACACTGGAAGTCTAGCCTGAAGAACCCTCTAAAGATCTTTCGACCCATGCATCCATTGCCCACTGCCGTTGGACGCGAGGTGCTGCCCCAACGCGTCCTTTGCACCTGGGACCCGCCACGCCGGGGGCAGACGAGGAGGTGGATGCTCCTTGGAGCTGTGGGATGTTCGTGATCTTCAAAACCAAATGACATGCGGGCCATTTGTGATCATGCCGGCCGTGATCATCATTTAACCCCAGAAACATCCCAGAACAGCAGTCACTGAAGCGACCGGGGTGTCCATCCTGAGGTGCGCACCTACTTTCGATCGCTGCGCCGGAGGCGGGACGTTCGAAGCATGGGGGAACCGGAACTGCGTGGCCTTTGAAGTCGTATGGATCACCTGGACCACCAAATGGATCACCTGGCCTCGACCCGCGACCCGGCGATTCCAGGTGTGGCGTGCCCACCAGTGAGCTGCCGCGCTTCTTCGAACCGGTGATTCCATGCGCCTTTTCTTCACCGAACCGGTTCGACGGTTGGGTTTGATTGAACGAAGGAACCTTCCAAAAGCTAGGGGGATCGACCTCACCCAAAGTGGTGCCTTTTATGGGGAAGAAACATTTGGCGACTGGTCGTTGCGCTTGCCACAAACCATGAAGGTAGTTTGGATGTAGACCATTTGTATGTGCAGCATTGTTTGGAGACCATTGAAGTTTGGATATGGCATCTACATGCATTTATAATCATATATATATATATATATGCGTGTTTGTTCAATATATGTTTAGCATTTGCTGGTTGGTATGTATGAATTTCTTTGCTTTGGGGCGTGGAAGGTGATGCTTTTTTGCTTTATATGTTTTACTTGGGTACAGCTGCTTTTCAGCAGCTCATGGGGAAGCTATGCCACAACCTATTCAAGCAGCAAAATGAAATCCCAATCTTCCAATACTTCAGGCAGACAAAAGTTTACGCTTGTTAGCCTTCTTACAAAACACTCTGA